TATAACACTGCATGCTGTTCTTAAGGGAAAAACTGCTCAAATGAAGAAAACTGATATTTCATCTCCAATGGCACTCATGAACTGTAACATCTACTGGCATATAATGATGTTTGTGATCATGCACTGTTATGCAATTCTCAACTCTTCTAATATGCTTAAAGCCTGGACAAATATTTATGAGACACCCTGTATATATTCAAAACTTCAGTTCCTGCTTAACAAGGACCAGGGATGACTTACATAGTTAAATTCAAAATCACAATCAATCTGAAAGCAGTTTAAAGAAAAGCATTTCTTTTAGATTAATTATGAATCTGAAATAATTTATATTTAATTTCAGATTGTCAATTAATCTGTAATGAATTATTAACATCATGCACACTGTTATACTTTATACAGAAATTGCACTTTCCTAGAGAAAGAGCAATAATTTGTATTTTAATCAACAGAAAAAGATTTACTACAGTCAAAAGTCTTTAATCCGGACCTCTAAGTTACAAACTTTCTGTGCGTGCGTCAACACATAATGTGTTAACACATGTGCATACCTTTATGCATGCGCACATGTGTCTACACATGCACATAATACCTTTACGCATGTTCGTTTAATGTATAACGCACGGTATAAGCTAAGCGAAAATTAGCTAATTATCTATTTTAGTTAATGTTGCAGATTGTATTGTTCCTTAATCTTCTAATTGGATCCGGCTTATTATTTTTTGCAGGCTGTTAGAGCAATTTTATAAAAGTAAGCTTGAACTTCCGATTATGTCAAAAAGAATTTCTGATTCTGGAGCTACCAAAGGATCTACAAAGCGAAAGCATGTTCCGATGTCCATCAAACAAAAAGTGGAATTGCTACAAAAAATGGATAAAGGCATATCCTTTGATTCTCTAATCATTCTGAAATACGTTTATCAATTCCCCGCTGCTCTGCGGGGGAGATGGGGACAACTGGCGCGCAATGAACAGGAATTTGATCTGTCAGCACTATCCTTAGCTTCAGGGCAGATGTTTTTATTTTATTCGGCTTATAATTCCTTACTAAATGTAGTATTTCATCTCGATGTACTCCGTCTTTGATATGATTTAAATCAAATTCCTCGTCATTATATATATCACGAATACACATCAAATAGTTTTCTGGTTCCAATTTTCTAATTTCAACTATGTGTAATGTATGCTTTATGCATGCGCGTGTTGAAAGAAATGTTTAATGAAGTAAACAAATAAATATAAAGCTTTTTTTTTTGTAAATTTTGATACCCTTTAGATCATAATTGCTCTTAATTTTATAAATTATGGTTTCATATTTTTTATTTTATAATTTCTGCATGATATCTTACCAGATTTAAAATGATCTAGAATCAGGAAAAACCAATTATCCGGAATCGCCGAAGTCAGGACGCGTCCAGATTAAAGACTTTTGACTATATTTGCTTTTTGATTCCAATGCTGCCTAAAATAATTATGGCAACCCTAACACAAGAAAGGAAGTATAATTGTAAATAACTATCTAAGATTGATGTTTTAATTTAGATGAAAGGTTAATTTCATATAATACTTTTTTATTATTATAATTTATATAAAAAAAGGCTAAACATGACTGAATGGAAGCATAAGAGTAAATAACTATTTCAGATCATTATCATAATTTATATAAAAATTGCTAAACATAACTGAATGGATGCTTGCATCGCCGTTTCGCTACCAATTTATCGCTAAAGCATAATTTCATCTCATTGGTTGTTCAAGGATAATTTTCTATAATGAATGATGCCTTTTCTTTGAAAAAATTCTCGGTAAAGTGCAAAATCGCCCACTGATTTGTTTGCTGCTTTTTACAAGGGTAAAAGCAATTGGATTTTGTCAATTTTCTTTTAGTTTTAAGTGAAAATAGGTCGATGTGTATATAGATAACGTCGGCTGATCTTTAGAATATGGTAACTGGTAGTTTGGCGACATTTTGGAGGCGATAAAGGTTACTACCTGGGACTTTGGTAATAATGTGAGCAGTACTCAGTTCCGATTACGCATTATTTTGTGTGAGGGAAATGAGAGATCATGTGAAATGTCATGTGATATTAATGGACGAATTACGGTTCTTTAATCGGAAAAGGGGGGAAATCGGGAAAAAATCTGGAAATTTTGTATTTGCCTTTATTCTGTGTTGTGTGAAACAGTGTTCGTTAATTTTTGGATCCCATGGCCCTAACTAAAGTGAATTCGAAATGGGTATTTAGTGGGATCGAAAGGCGTAGTAATAAGTGTTTCTTTAAGGTTGTGCGAGATAGAAGTAAAGATGTTATTAAGTTATTTATTTTTACCTGGTACCTTGGTGTGAACTATAAGTATGATTTTAAAGATCCTGAAAACAGAAATAAGAAAAGTTATCGGACACGTAATCAAGATTCTGAAGAAGAATAGGTAAGTTAGTAAATTTTTTTAATTATTTGAGGATATTATTTTTATGCATCGTTCTAAATGTAAGGTGGAAGTAAAGTAATTTGCGTAAACGTGCATGGAAATAATTTAAATATTTGACACTAAGTATTTGTAACCATTTGTAATGAAGTAAAGGTATGAATTAGTTAGTGACATTTGTAATATAATAGATAATGTAGAGGTAAAAGTTTTTGGATGTTTTATTTATTTTATACGGGGAAATGTTCATATTTGGAAAGGGTATGTACTTTTTCACGATCAGGTAATTTCATATATGTTCTTTTTACCGGGTTTAAAGATTCAGAAAATTGTCATGTATTTTTGTGAAATTTTTCTAATTTATGAGGAAAAAAAAAGCAGTGTACATGGATATAGTGAAGAGTGTGCGCAATGCCTTTTTGTGCAATTCTGGGATGTTTTTTAAGTAAAAATAAGTCGACTGTACATAGTTTAGTGATATTTTAATTAAATGATAGTTATTTGTGAATTTTATGTTTGTAGGAATTTGTGTATACGTTTAAGTTGAAGTAAACGTGCATGGAAATAACTTAAATATTTGTAATGCTTGCGGTATGAATTTGTTGGTGACGTGTATAATATAATAGATGATTTAGAGTTTTTGGATATTTTATTTATTTTATATGTGGAAATGTTCGTATTTGGAAAGGGTATAAACTTTTTCGCGATCAGGTAATTTCATATATGTTCTTTTACCGGGTTTAAAGATTCAGAAAATTGTCATGTATTTTCGTGAAATTTTTCTAATTTATGAGAAAAAAGCAGTGTACATGGATATAGTGAAGGTGTGCGCAATGCCATTTTTGTGTAATTCTGGGATGTTTTTTTTAAGTAAAAATAGTCGGCGTGTACATGGTTTATGTGTATGTGTTATTTTGAAAAACGCGTAAGGAGTATGGTATTTGTGCACTTTTTCCCAATTTTGCAGTGAACATTTGGCATGATTAAGCAGTTTTGTTAGATAAAAATTCTAGCATAAGTGTAATTCGGCTAGTAGTAGATTGTTGGAAGAAGTGTTCCGTAGAAAAAAAAAGAAACATGTCTTTACTTCGTGAAGACAAAATGGCGGCGGGAAAAAAAAAATAGAGGGTTGCTGTAGGAGAGTTGGTCGCCAAATTTTCGCCAAAAAAACGCCAAGTTACTATAATGTAAAGATCAACCATAACATCAGTGTCATCTTTGTGCAATTCTGGGATTTTAAGCGAAAATAGGTCGATGTGTACATGGATACTGAGTATGTGCAATTCTTAAAAACGTGTCAAGCAGTGGGCGATTCTGCACTTTACCCAAAATTTTATTGCAGACTTTTCCTCATGGGCAATTCGCAAATTGTTAAATCCATAGGATTTTGAAATTAAACTAGTATTTCAATGGCATCTTAAGAAATATAGAACTATATAAACTTACGCAATCTGAAATCAGCTCGTACGCTAGATTTGGTGCGCTGTTAAATGGGCGTGTTTGCTAGATTTGATGCTTTTGTGCATACATTTTCTCTGCAATTTTTTTAGGTCCTCAAAACAGAATGGTTCCGAAAAAATTATTGATCACTTACCTGTGTTTTAAACAACTTAACCTGGAGTACAAATTCATTTTGTTACATAAATTAAATCAGTACTGAAAACCAAAAGAACACATTGCAAGTAATGGAGCGATAAACATTATTAGAAATTAAGAAGGTTACAAAATAAACTTTTTACTAAATCAGAACTTTAAAATCCTGTGCTTGACAAGATCAGCCAACTACTTGTGATGATGTAATTTAAAATAACAGTAAATTTCAAATTTAAAAATGGAAACTTTTCCAGCTTACTGGTATCACCACAAGTAAGATATGTTCATATGGTGAATGTTTTACAGGCAATAACTGTACTTCTTAATAGTTTAAACATTTTTAGTTTTTATGAACATTTGTGCTTTATTGTAATTTAAAAAAAAAAAAATTTCTATTATGAGAATTTCTAATGTTACATTTTTAACGAATTATAATAGGTTTATTTAATTGGTGTATGATCATTTGTTTCATAATTTTCAGGTACGTTTGACAATTTTAAAGTTTTTAATATTTTTCTGATATCTTGAAATTTTTAATTGTAAACTCTTCGTCACTAGATTGCAATCTAAAGATATGTTTCCAATATTTTTATTTATGTTATTTGAACATGCCTAGTTGGACAGCGTTTCCGTAACCAAAACCTGGCGAATATTTACCCCAACATAATATTTCTGATGTGATAATTCGGATAAGTAGTTATGAGCATCTTTATATTTTAGACTAACACATACTTAAAATAATTACATAAAAAAGGGGAAGGAAATGTTTAATATATATGTACACGCAATATAAAAATTCAAAGTATCTCATCAAAATAGAAACTTCATGCGTCATCTTATATTGAATATAAAATATCTGCAGCTACAATAACATAATAAATTCAATGCGTTACAGAAAAAGAACAAAAAAAGTTCGTTATATATCTTAATATTGCTAAAAATGATATTTAGCATAGTTATAACCGGTTTTTCTTATAACTTACACCGGAATCTCTTGAAATTGATGCCATCTTTGAAGAAGTAGTATTTAGATGTTGCCATTTCCGTAAAACCAAATAGAATGGCATTAAAGTTCCAGTGTGTAACCAAGGAGGTTAGTGTAACTTCTTGTGTAGTTTGTTGAATTTAATTACTTCTGTACTTTAAAAGAATACTCAACTAATGAGTATATCTCAAGAATTCAAAACTTTTATTATTACATTTTTAAACAGTTCACATGACATTCAGCTAGCACAGCAACACGTGCATCACAACAACGGAATCGCATAGCATGAGAGCCATTAAAGTTATTTTAAATATAAATCACATCCCTTCCTCCAGTTTATAAACAATAATAAAAATACCAAATAATATCAATACAAGTATATTTCACAATATGACATACAATAAAAAAAAGTTACATAAAAATGATATATGCAATATGTTACATTATTTTATTCCATGACAAAGTCTCTATATCTTGAAGGTTGTCTAATCAACCGTCCACTTCTTCTTGTTATTGTACTATTGGATAGATTATTCTGTTGATTTCCTATATTAACAGGCACAGAAACATTTTCAGGGCTTCCATTTGAATTTTCCTCTTTATCTAATACTATATCATCATAATCATTATTAACTTTGTAAAGTGAGTTTGAAAATTTTATATGGCGTCTGTTTCTTCATAATATTTCCCCATTTGAATTTCTTACAATATAGGATCTAGGAAACTTTATGTTTTGAAATTATTTCACCTTTATCCCATTGCCCAGTTCTAAAGTTGAACAAGGTTATATACTATCTCCAGGTTTTAACTCAGGCAGTTTCTGTGCGGTTCTATCATAATAATATTTTTGCCTAGCTTGAAGTGCACGAAATTTAGAATAAGGTTTGTTTATCTTAGTATTTAAACAATTTATTACTGATAGGTAATTTTGTCCTTAATCTTCTATTAAGTAACAGTTGTGCAGGAGACAAATTTATTCCACTAATTGGGGTATTTCGATATTCCATTAAGCCTACACTTATATCTTGCACTTTTCTCATGATATTTTTCACTATTCCTACAGCTTTTTCAGCCAACCCATTACTTTGAGGATATCTGGGGCTACTAAATTTAAGTTCGAAATCCCAATCTTCAGCAAATTTCTTAAATAAGTAGCTATTACAGGGATTATTGTCGCAAACGACTTCATTTGCAATACCATACCTGGCAAAGATGCATTTTAACTTTATCATAATTTCATTTGCTGTCTTATCTTTTATGTTAGAAACCTCAATCCATTTAGAGTAATAATCGATAACTACTAAGTAATTTTGATTACCAAATTGCAAGATATCAAGGGCAATTTTTTCGAATGGTTTAGTTGGAATTTCATGTTGCATTAGAGGTTCTTTTTGATTTCTATTTCTGAATTTTTCACATATTTCACATTTGGAAACAAGCTGCTCAATGTCATTTGTCATACCTGGCCAGTAAAAAAATTTCACGGGCTCTACTTTTACATTTCTCAATTCCAAAGTGCGCTTCATGAATTAATTGCAACATATCTTTTCTCAAACCATAAGGTACAACTAATTTTTCATTAATAAATAACAAGTCGTCATTAATATAAAGATCATTTTTAACTTTTAAAGTATGTTTTTACACTACTATCTACTTTTTTGTAACATTTAGGCCAACCCTCTTTAATATATTTCATAACTATTTGCAAATCTGGATCTGATTCAGTTTCTTTTCTAAATTGCACCACTCTTCTTTCACTCATAGGCAAATATTTCGAAATAATGTGAACAACATTTAGCATTTCACGATCATCACTGATAGTTTCATTCACAGGATATGCACGTGACAAAGTGTCAGCCAAAAGCATTTGATTACCTGGAACATAATTTATCTCAAAATCATACTTTAGTAACTTTAAGATCAACCTTTGCATTCTAGACGAAATTTTTAAAAAAGTATTTCTTAAAAAATACATAACCTAAAAAGGTATTTCTAAAAATAGAGAGAAAAAAGCAGAGCAAAATAGGATGCTTTTTATTGGAATTACAAACTATAGCTTTTTTGAATACAGTATCGCGAAGCACATCTCCTGATGACGACAACACTCACTGTTGCCAGAACTTATCTAAACTATATATTATATTATTATTATTTTTATTAATATACTTTAACTTCTCCTTGTTAAAAAAATAATAATAATAATAAAAAAAAAAAGTCATATCTTAAGTCCGATCTCATCACAAAGAATTAACAGTTCCGGTTAAATAAGGTTTAGTCATTATGTCAGCAACTTGCGCCTCTGCAGTACCTGCTGCACAATCATTTCCTTTTCAGAACTTTCTCTCGTATGAAAAAGTGCTTGATATCAATGTGTTTTGTGCGTCGATGAAACTCTGGGTTTGTGACAGTCTCACTGCAGCGGCGTTGTCTACTTGAATTGCTGGAGTTTTCACGTAACTTGGTTACATCACTAAATAGTCGCTTTAACCAATTACTTCTCTAGAACATTCACTAGCTGCAATTACTTCTGCTTCAGTCGTCGAAGTTGCAACAACTGTTTGCCTTTGGCTAATCCATGATTTAGCTCCACCACTATATAATATCACTACTCCACTCGTTGATTTTCCTGTTTCTCGACAGTCTCCAAAATCTGCATCACTATTGCATTCTAGAATTCCTGGTTTGTATTTATTCTTGTATGTAACACCTTTAGTTAGAGAACCTGCTATGTATCTGAATACACGTTTCACTTTTGTCCAATCATCTTTCGAAGGATTTTCTAGGTAACGTGATAGAATGCAGACACAGTAAGCTAAATCTAGTCTTGTGCCTAACATAAGATACATTAAAGCTCCTACAGCTTCTCTATAACACTGGCTTGCAATCTTCCATCCCAAATTTTTGAAGAATTTTTCTTGCATAAGCTTGCTGACTAATTTTAATACTTACATCTTCAAGATGTTTAATTTTAAGTCCAGGAAAGTATAGTGCTGGTTTAGTTGTGATTCTGAATCTCGACTTCAATTCTCTGAGAAATTTTTCAGATTCTTGTAGATCTGTTGATGCTACTAAACCAGCATCTACATATAAACATACGATTAGCTTCTTGCCGTTATTGTTTCTTATATAGAAAGCATGGATCAGCTTCACTTGTCTTGAAGCCCCAGCTGTGACAAAAATCTCCAAAATATTTATTCCAGCAGCGTGATGATTGTTTAAGTCCATACAAACTGCGTTTCAACTTACAGACTTTCTTCGAACCGTCACTATATCCTTCTGGTTGCTGCATGTATATAGAGTCTTCAAGTTTTCCATATAAGAATGCTGAACCAACATCAAACTGAGAAAGATGCATTTTCTCATTGGCTGCGATGCTCAAAACTGAACGAATAGTTCCTACTTTTGTCCTATTTTTACTATTTTTGTTACTGGACTAAACGTTTGATCATAATCAACTCCAAAACGTTGAGTACATCCTTTGGCAACAAGTCTAGCCTTGAATTTATCAATAGATCTATCAGGATTCCTTTTGATTTTTTAAACCCACTTGCATGGTATAGCTTTAGCATCTTTTGGTAATTTTTCTAAACTCCATGTTTCATTCTCTATCAATGATTTCATCTCTGAATCCATAGCTTCTTTCCAATTAACACTTTGCTTACAGTTGATCGCTTCTTCATAAGATTCGGGCTCTTTAGAATCAATAATAAAAGCTTCACTTATCATTAATAATCTTCAAAACGCTTTGGCTTTCTCAAGTCAGCTCTATCTCTTAGGTATCTTGACTGTACATTATTTTGCAAATAATATCTTCACATTCTTGTCTTTCAAAATGTTCTTCTGATATATTTCCAGATATTTCTTTGTTGTATTCTTTTTCTGAATTATCTTCTTCACAAAGAAACTTTTCTGACTTATCTTTTTCTGAATTTTGTTGATGTCAGAGCCAAAATTAGGCTATCTTGATCTTAAATAGTAACTGAACCCTTTCTTCACAATTTGTGAGCTTTTCGTTAAATATAATATCACGTGAACAGATCACACTATTGGTTTCTTTGATCCATAGTCGGTATCTTTCCTCTCCATCATAACCAATTAAATAAGCTTTTGTAGCCTTTTATCCATTTTCCTTCTTCTTTGTTTAGGAGATGGGCATAACACACAGATCCTACTATACGAAGATGCTGAATTTCGAGGTATCTTTTTAAACCATAGCTCATAAGGACTCATGCCTTCTACTGATGATTTGCCAGTTCTTGTTTAGTACATATATGGCAGTGTTGACTAGTTCAGCCCACATTGCTGCTGGAAAAAATGAGCTTCAGAATTTGGAGTACTTAAATGTTCTTGCCATTTCGATTATTGTACGTATGTCTCTTTCACTAGAGCCATTTTGTTCAGGAGAATAAGGTGCTGTTAGTCTTTGAGTTATACCTTCAGAATGCAAAATAGCACGCACTTTGTCATTGTCAAACTCGCCTCCATTATCGCTGAGAAATTTTTTGGCTGGATGTCCTAAAATTTTAGCGTGTGCAAGCATGTGTTGTAACATATTTACAACAGCAGATTTTTCCTTGATAAAATACCCATAACGAAACTTTGTGAAACACAACTAAGTATCTTTTCTTCTGGAAAGATTCATCAACCGGTCCACAGACATCAGCTGAAATTAATTCACCAGGCTTGCTGGTTGGCTTTCTTATGCCAAATGGTAAACGGTGTGCTTTGCCAAAAATGCATGGTTCACACAATTTTCTTTCAAATGGGATTTTAATTCCTAATTCTTTCTCAAGCATGTTCTTAATGTGACGTTTATCTTGATGTCCCCATCTTTGATGATATAACTCTAACAAGGAATTGTCTGCTTCAGCAGCATGCACTTCTATAACTTTATCAGGCATAATAGGTTCGATAGCTGCCTTGTATAAATTACCATATACTTTGCGAGTTCCAAAAAGCACTACTTGACCATTAACTTTTAACCAGCATTCTGTAACTGTTGAAATAAATTTACTATTCGGATTTCTATCTTGAGCAGCAAGTAAAGGAAATAAATTTCTGTTTATCTCAGGGACATACCAAACATCTTT